AACACTCAATAACTTCCTGCAACAAGTAATAAAAACTCCAATACATTCGCCAACTCATGTTTGATAGCCCTTAAAAGCTCGATAGGTTCTGCCAATACGACGCAAAACGTTCTATACATTCGCGAGCAAATATTCAATCGAAATTTAATAGGAAAATATTATCGTGGTTATTGAGAAGACGGTTACTTAACCCTACGAGAAAGAAATCTCGAGTAATGAACGAAGAGGTTGCTATGCCCACGGCGAGACTCGGCCGCGGATAGGTTCCCCGACCTGGATCAATGGAACGAGAACGGGATCTGGATCAGAGCCACTCCCGAGTCCGAAGGTGGTCCCTACTACTTCAGCGCGTGGACTGTCTGTGTGTGCGGGCGCGCTTTCTCGAGCCACCAGGAGATCCGAGCCAGGGGCCTTGGAGGCAGCAAGGATATGTGACGCACAGAGGCATATTAACATCATGTGTCCTCCTTGGAGGTGCGCATCTACTAAAAGACTTCTCGGTGCGCGCGTCGCCCCTGTGGGGGGCGACGCACATGTAGTAGAAGTATGTTGCGGTGACGACGAGGAGGAGGCCAGAGGCTACAGCACAGCGCGCTGCGCCGCGCCGCCGCGCGGCGCCGACCCACCGACCCGGCGGCGACCCGACGGGCGTGTGCGTCGGGGGGGCGGCGCCCTGGCCGGCGACGAGGCCGCACGAGGAGAGGCCTCCTCGCCGGGGCGGGCAGGGCCTCAGCGCGCAGCGCAGGGACAGCGGGCAGGGAGGACGAGGAGCCAGGAGCCAGGGGAACGGTGGGGGGGAGAGCCCCGGCGGCGGCGACGCGCGCAGCGCGCACCCTGCGTCAGGGCGGCCGGAGGGCGGAGGGGAAGAGCGGGTCGGAGGATGGCGCCGCATCGCCAATGCATCGCCGATGCCTCGGCGATGCATTGGCGACGCATCGGCGCCGTCGGCGTGGAGGAACTCTGGCTCCACGTCGAGCCACGCTGTCGATGCAACGTCGATGCGGAGCGGTCAGGTGACCCCATCTGCACCGACCCCATCTGGGAGACCTAGAATGAGGGGGAGCGTGAGGGGCCCTCCAGGGACCTCCAGAGATCCTCATCCTGCCGCGTCGTCCTTCCTGCCTCCCGGCATGCTGGGCCGAAGTCCTGCAAGGACTGCTCTTCGACAAACGCACTATCCAAACCTGTGGCTTTCTGGAGCAGCTCCATGCGGCGCCGTGGTGCTCGCCGTTTCCCTCCTGCCCAGTCGATTCGGTTCCTCATGCCAAACGCATGGGCGCGACGGCCAGCGTTCAGAGTAAGCGAAAACATGCGTCGAAACGCGTTCACAACAAACAAACAAAAAACAAAACAAAAAAAACAAAAACGAATGAAACAAAACACTGCCGCAGACTGCATCAGCAGAGACCGAAAGGCGAGGTGGGCGAGCTCAGCGAGAGGCGGCGCAGGCTGGGACCACGGGAGAGGGCACACCGAGACCGCTGGATCGGCCGCAGCGCGGAACGACAGGCCGGTAGCGGGCCAGCTGGCATCAGGTCGGGCATGTCCCCCGACTGACTACCTACCAGACCACCCCAACCCAACCCGAAGACCCGAAGTTGACCCGAATTTCGGGTTGGGGGGGGTACGGGCTCCATGTGATTTTTCAACGTTCCCCGACCCCCCCCCACTGGAAATGGAGGGCAAATGGAGGCCTTCGGGTTGGGTTGGGGTGGTTTGGCAGGTGGTGACCTGCAGGCAGATGAGGAGTGAAAAATTGCGAAGGCTCAAAAATACAAAGTCCCCGGAATACTCCTGCGGCAGGTTCGTGTCGTGACGACCCCGGCGTTGGTTTCTGACACCGCGTGGATCGTTCAACCTTGAACAATCGGCAGCTTTCCCACCGCCCGATCGTTCCATGTAGGCCGATTCTGGGCCACTGGCGGCGTGCAACCTTGAACGTCCGCGGCGGGGTCGCCGCCGGTCGACACGACGCGACCCTGCCGTGTGCTGTTTCCAACACTTCCTCCTGTGGAGGGTCGCGCCCGACGCAAAGCTGGCCAGAAGAGTGCCGCGCGAGCGGATCGCGCGGAGGCGCGGCGGGAGCAGAAGGCCCTCGGGCGCCCGAGGTGCAGCCAAAGGTGGAGGCCCGCGCGGCAAGCAGGAGCGCCCCGACGCGCGAAGGCGCGGAGCAGACGCACCCAAAGAAGGGATCCAACAGGGCAGGGCTGCTCAGTGGACGCCCGGGACCGTTCAGCAAAAGCCAATGATCGGGTCCGGGTGGTCTGTCCTCCTTTGACCATGGGCCTTGGCTAATTAAGGGCTGTGGTTTGCGTGGGCGGACTTGTTTGGAGAGGGGGGGGGACTCGAAGGGAAGAACACACGCGAGCTACTAGAACCGAGCCTGCGCTTCGCGCGCACTTGGGCGAGAGGGAGATGAGAGAGAAGGAGAGTGAGGGATGGAGCGAAAGAGGAAGGGGAAGGGAGGCAACGATGAGCACAGGGACACGGAGCAGGATGGCTAAGGGCTGGGATGGGCCGAGATGCAAGGATGAAGTCGGGCATGTCCTTGGACGAAAAATAGAAGATACTCAAAATGAATACAACAAATAGTCGAAGGTCGTCCCCTGACTATGTTTCGACTATGTTTGAACATTCCTCCTGTAGAGGGGCACGCCCGACTTAAAGGCAGGGATGCAAGGATACCGAGAGAGCTGTTCCTCCCTGTGGTGCGGTTTGACCGCGGCAGCTGCGCTTCCTCACGGCTGTGGCTGCAGAGTCGGGAGCAGCGCAGACAAGCACGCTGCTGACCACAGCGACTACCAGAAAGAGGAGGGGGAGGAGGAGGAGGAAGAGGAGGAGGAGGAGGAGGAGGGGGAGAGAAGGAGGAGGAGAAGGAGAAGGAGGAGGAGGGGAGGAGGGAGGGCGACCCGGCGAGCGACGCCTGGGCAGCTAGATCGTCTCCTAGAATCCCACCAGTCCTTGAGGGCCCCCTACCCTTGAGTCTGTAGGGGGGGGTCCGCGGGTCGTTGGAGCGTCTAAAATGGCCTCGGCGTAGCGAGTTGGAAGATCCGCCTGGCGGCGCGTCGTGACAGGATCAGAGGTCGAGAACGGCAAGCTTCTTACTCATGAATGGATCCCTGCCCTTCAAACTTCACTCACTCCATATCAATACATTGCCCGCCGTTCTTGTCTCGACTGCCTCGGAGTTGTCAGAGCGGGGGTTCTCCGTCCCGCCAGAGTGGCGTCGCACAGTGCCTGCTTGGCCACTGGGACCAAGTTCCTGTGGTAACCACCTGACTAACTGGAGATGCGTCGCCTACCCGTTGCTGAGTGGCTTTGGCTGGGAGCTGGTCTGCGATGGAGGCGTACTCAACTGTGGAGAGGGATTAACTCAGTGTTTGGTATCTGGCGTCTTTCTCTAGAGCTGTGGCTATACTTCCTGATGTCGCTGATGGTCTGCGTCTGGCCATGGCTGGGCAACTTCAGTTAGAGACTGAAGCTGTGCTTCGTGTACTGGTACATCCTTCTGGAAGGGCAGGGTGCTGTTTCGAGAACAGACCCCGAACCTGATCTAGCAGGCTCCGTCCGCCGGCCACGCTGCCTCCTTCCCGCCTGAATCCCCCCCTGCTCCTCCTCCAGGCATCGTGGTCTGGATTGGAGCCGTCGGGTGCCACAGGGGTCGGCCTGGTGCACACAGCACCGCAGGTGTTTGGCCCCTGCGGGGCCCGCGGGGAATCACCCCCTGCCCGTATGCCCGCATCTGTTGCGACACATCTCCGAATCTCGTCCGAGCTCGGGGCTGTACGGTGCGCTTGTACCCTGACCTCGAGCGTGCTTTTCTGTCGTCCGATCTGTCCGAGGAAGCTTCATGTTCTTGTATTACACGAGGTAGTCTCGCAGCAGGAAAGTGGGCAAAGCAGATGTGTTGTTCGTCTGTGTATTCTCTCCTCCTCCTCCTGATCCTCCTCCTCCTCATCCTCCTCCTCATCATCATAATAATCATCAGCATCATCAGCATCATCATCACCACCATAATCATCAACATCATCATCAGCATCATCAGCATCATCAGCATCATCATCATGAGCATCAGCATCAGCATCATCAGCAGCATCATAGTCATCAACAGCATCATCAAAATCATCATCATCAGAATCAGTATCATCATCAGCATCATCAGCATCGTCATCATCATGATCGTCATCATCATCGTCATCGTCATCGTCATCGTCACCAACATCATCATCATCATCATCAGCATCATCATCATGATCCTCATCATCATCATCATCATCATCATCATCATCATCATCATCATCATCATCAACATCATCATCAGAATCATCATCCTGCGCCTCCTCCTTCTCCTGCTGCTGAATCCGCAGCCCCGGCACGCACCTAACTTTGAGGTGCGTGTCCACCGGGACTAGGCGTGTCGCGGCCGAATGTTCTCCACAAAAACCAAGAAAGGGGTGTCCCTCCTCATCTTCCTCATCCGCCTATTCCTCCTCCTCCTCCTCCTCCTCCTCCATCCTCCCTCATCCTCCTCCTCCTCCTCCTCCTCCTCCTCCTCCTTCTCCTCCTCCTCCTCCTACACCTCCTCCTCCTCCCCCCTTCCCCCTCCCCTCTCCCTATTCCTCCTCCTCCTCCTCTCTCCTCCTCCTCAACCTCGCCTCCTCCTCCTCTCCTCCTCCTCCTCCCCCCCCCTCCTCCTCTTCCTCCTCCTCCTCCTCCTTCTCCTCCTCCTCCTCATCCGACTCCTCTTCCATCCTCCCCCTATTCGGGTATGACCTTACCCAGCTCTGTATTCCACTGCATGCATCTCCAGATCCCTGATCAAGGCAGCTACTCTGGGCATCGTTTCTGGATAAACTGGTGGGGTTACGCGAAGCGTCTAGAATTACTACCAAGCCTCGGGCGCTACTGGCTAATACAGAGAGATGGCAGGAGCACCGCTGAGGGATCCGGATGGGGAGGAGAGATGCTGGACCCACCTCTGCACAGGCCCCCCTGGTGGCCTGGTCGAACAGGCCAGCCTTGGCAGCGAAATCCACTACGTACTTGAACACCCGGTACCGAGTCTCGTAGAGTGGATTGTTGAAGGTGTTGTACCTTGAAGGAGAAGAGACCGCCACGAGGAGACTGTACTGAAAAATGGGGTGTTGGTGAGTAGCGTGCAGAAGGCCAGAAGGGTCATAAAGCGTAGGCCCCCCTCTTTCCCTTCCTGTGGTTCTCCCGTCTCTCTCACAAAGGGCGTCCACTTCGACAGCGCAACCAAACAACTGACCGAACCGAGAAACGAAACCGAAACCGAAGCCAACAGGCCGCGAGCAGCTCGGAAAAGCGCGGCGACGCAGCGACGGCACGACGGCCGGCCGAACCGAACCGACCGAACGCATGCCGACTGCGACGCAACCGACGGAGACGAACCGCGGACACCCTGCAGGGGGGCTGAGGTGAGAAGGGGAATGGGGCAGGGGAGGGAGGGGCACGGCCGACCAGGAGGGGACCGCCCGCATTGAGGCTGCGAATCGGGGGGGGAAGGGCTCGCTGAACCACGAGGGGGTTTGGATGCGTCTCACTCGACTCCCCTGGGGATGGACAGACCTCCCTTTTGCAAAACGTGGTTTAGTGAAAACGAACTGAGGCCCAAACCTGGCGGGCGCAAGCCTGGAAAAAAACGGCCACGGCGCCCTCTCGAGAACCGAAAACGGACAATTCACTAATCGACGTGTCACTGTTGGGGGTTCTGTCCACCCCCGACTCCCCTGCCTTCTCGGTTCCCTCCTACGGACCTTCTGAGGCCCGCAGGGAGCACCGAATAGAAGGGAACGAAGGGGCTCTCCTGGTCGCGGCGAGGCTATGCAGCGGACAGGTCCACCGACCTACCGCAGGTTCGTGTCGTGCCGACCCCAGCGTTGGTTTCTGACATCGCGTTGATCGTTCAACCTTGAACGATCGGCGGCTTATCGATTGCCATATCGTTCCATATTAGGACGATTCTGGGCCACTGGCGGCGTTCAACCTTGAACGCCCGCGGCGGGGTCGCGACGAGTCGACACGACGCGAACCTGCCGTAGACTGCAGGACAGGCCCGAACACCAGAAGCCCTCCTGAGCTGAGGTCGGGCGTGCCCTCCTACAGGCGGATCTTGGACGAAAAACACTGTCAGACACTGCTCAACAGTGGCCCAGAATGGTCAAAAAAATGCCCCCAGGCTATGCTTCGACTGCTCTGGAACACTCCTCCTGTGCAGGGACAGGCCCGACTGGATCCTGAGCTCAGACTGGCCTTCCTTTCAGGGGCAACGATAGGGGGTATACACCATGCGAAGTGCTTAAGAAATCATGGGTTAAGAAATTCATAGTCTCAGAATTTGAGTAAAGACCCAGAACGTCTATCAAAATCTTAGGATCTGCATTGAAACATTAAGAATAATCGAGACTCTGGCCGAAAACTTAGGTTTTCTTAAGCATCGCCTAGGGTGTAGGCACAGGGGGGGAAGCATCGACGCGCCATCGCCCATGGATCGCCGATGGGGGCCCGATGGCCCGAGCCTGCCCAGGAGGGTGCGGACTCACTGCCAGGGGCCTCTCGCCGATCCAATCGGCGATGTGCCGCCGATACTCCGGGTCGATGCAACCCCCCTGGGCCTATCAAAACAGGGCTCGGATCGGGATAAATCGCTCCAGAGCGTTCCGGAGCGCTCTCAGAGCGTTCCGGAACGCTCTGGAGCGGCCGCGGCGCCCAGCACATCCTCCAGACCCGCCGATTCTCAGAGATTCCGAGGTATCCCGATCCGATTTGTGGTCCCGATCTTCGCGTCGTTTTCATGCACCCACCCCTGTGCCTATCCCCCCCCCCTGTCGTTGCCCCTCATCCTCCCAGCGCACGATGTCTTGGGGGGTTCTCCCACGGGGGAGGTCTGAAATGCCTTGCCTTGGCCCCTTATTTGACTACCTACCAGACCACCCCAACCCAACCCGAAGACCCGAATTTCGGGTTGGGGGGGGTACGGGTTCCATATGTGTTTTCTCGATGTTCCACGACCCCCCCCAACTGGAAATCGAGGATAAATTGGGGCCTTCGGGTTGGGTTGGGGTGGTTTGGTGGGTGGTGATTATTACGAAATCTGGAGTATTCCCCCCTTTCGTTGCCCCTCGTCCTCCCAGCGCACTGGCTGCACCTGCCCCTCCCGCCTTCGCCTCCCGCCGCGGCCCATGGGGCCCCGCGGGCGGGCCGCGGCGCCCGCTCCACCGCGCCGACGGGTCGGAGCGGCGATGGAATCGACGCGGCTCGGCGGAGCTCGGCAGCTGAGGCCGGGCAGCGGCGCAGCGGCGGGCAGCGGCAGGCCAGTGGGCCTCCGGCGGGAAGAAGTCGGAGCCCACATCGGAATCCCAGGCCGAATCGGATCGGAATCGGAGGCCGTCGAAAGCGAATCGAATCGAATCGAATCGGAGGAGTCGAAACGAGCCCTGGCTTTGGCGACTCCGAAGGGTGTGGGTTGCAAAGGGTGCGGTTTGCACCCCGCAACCTGCGGGGCATCATTTGGGGGGCGGGCGAGGACCTCGACGGAGCTCTCGGCCGCGCCCCGAGGAGGCCCGACAAAGACAGCGTCGTACTCCCCAGGCCCTAATTAACGGTGCCGATCGCAAACCATACCCCGGCGTAACCGTACCCTTTTGTTAGGGGGCCACATGCGAACCCTACCCCTACCCCCCTACGATTTCTGAGGGGGAGGGTGGGGTTCACTTCGTTCGGGAGCTGCCGAGCGAAGTGAACCCCACCCTCCCCCGTCAGAAGTCGTAGGGGGATAAGGGGTGGGGGTCGCATGTGGCCCCCTACTTGTAGTAACCGATGGCTGCTGCCCTCGACCCCACGGGCGGGCACAGCATCATCAGCAGCCGCAGGCGCAGCTCGGGCTGCTGGCCGGCGGAGCGGCTGAAGAGGTCGCAGAGGCGCGTCGTGGCCTGGCCACGGGGCGCTCGGGCGAGCGCGACGGGTGGGGGGCCGGGCCTGCGCCCCGAGGGGGGGCGAGCGGGAGCGACGGGGGGCGAGGGTTTCCTCTGGGGCCTCCTCCTCCTGCTCCTCCTCCTCCTCCTGCTCCTCCTCCTCCCTCCTCCTCCTCCTCCTCGTCCTCCTCCTCCTCCTCTCCTACTGCTCCTCCCCTCCTCCTCCTTCTCTCCTCCTCTCTCCTCCTCCTCCTCCGCCTCCTCTCCTCTCTCCTCATCCTCCTCCTCCTCCTCTCTCCTCCCCTCTCCTCCTCCCTCTACCTCCTCCTCCTCCTCCTCTCCTCCTCTCCTCTCCCTCCTCCTTCCTCTCCTCCTCTCCTCCTCTCCTTCCTCCCCTCCTCCCCTCCTCATCCGCCTCCTCCTCCTCCTCCTCCTCCTCATACTCCTCCTCCTCTTCCTCCTCCCCCTCCTCCCCCTCCTCCGCTCCTCCTCCTCCTCCTCCTCCTCCTCCTCCCCTCCTCCTCCTCCTCTCCTCCTCCTCCTCCTCCTCCTCTCCTCCTCTCCTCTCCTCCTCTCTCCTCCTCTCTTCCTCCTCCTCTCATCCTCCCTCCTCCTTCTCCCCTCTCCTCCTCCTCCTCCCTCCTCCTCTCTCCTCTCTCTCCTCCTCTCTCCTCTCCTCCTCCTCCTCCTCCTCTCCCCTTCCTCCTCCTCCTCCTCCTCCTCTCGGGAGGAGGAGGAGGAGGAGGAGGAGGGAGGATGGGACGGGACAGTTGGGGGGCAGTACAGGCGGAGGGGGGAGGGGGGGGTGCTTGGGCGAATAAAAAGCGCTCACGCAAACTTAATTTTGCCAGGCCTCCGGGCCAGAGAAGAGCGCCCCGTGCATCGGGGGGGAAGAGCCGTCGGCCGAGGCGGAGGCTGCAGCCTTGAAACCGACTCTTCGGGGGAGGAGGGGAGAAAGAGAGGAGAAGGGGGAGGAGGAGAAGGGGGAGGAGGAGAAGGAGGAGGAGGAGGAGGGTAGGAGGAGGAGGGGGGAGGAGGAGGAGGGGGAGGAGGGGAGGAGGAGGAGGAGGAGGAGGATGTCGGACGACAGTTGGGGGGCAGTACATGGGGAGGGGGAGGGGGGGTGGGGAATCAAAGCAGCTCACGCAGCTGATTTTGCCAGCGCCTCCCGGCGCCAGAGAAGAGCGCCCCGTGCATCGGGGGGGGAAGAGCCCGTCGGCCGAGGCGGAGCCGGCTACGCGCAGCAGACTTCGAAACCCCGACTCTTCGGGGGAGGAGGAGGAGAAAGAGGAGGAGAAGGGGGAGGAGGAGAAGGGGGAGGAGGAGAGGAGGAGGAGGAGGAGGAGGCGGAGGAGGAGGAGGAGGAGGAGGGGGAGGAGGAAAAGGAGGAGGAGGAGGAGGAGGAGGGGGAGGAGAAGGGAGGAGGTCCGAGAGGGGGGCTTCGAGGAGGGAGGCTCGCAAATAGTTGTCGGCGGCACTTGCGCGGCCCAGGGGGGGCCAGGAGACGCATGGGAAGAAGAAGAAGAAGAAGAAGAAGAAGAGGAAGAAGAAGAAGAAGAAGAAGAAGCAGGAGGAGATGGGCCATGAGATCTGACCCCCCCTTGACATCACCACCTTCCTGGACGCCCCCGACACTCTCCCACTTCCCGCCCCCCCCCTCTCGTCCGAGACCTGGGATGGGGGGTGGCGACGAGTGGGACGCACAATGTCAGTTTAGTATTATTTGTTCTTCTTGGGAGCGCGCGTCCGACCCGAACATGTAGTATACCCGTTTTGTAGTATATCGTTTCCCGAGCGGTGTGCACAGAAGGCGCCCGCTGCGACGCATGCACTATGAGATTTCTCGGTGCGCGCGCCGCCCCTGGGGGGGCAACGCACACATAGCATTGGTCTACGATCGGGGAGACGTAAGACTCGTGCGCGGGGGACTCGGGTTGGCCTGACAGGGCCATCAACAAAATGGCGAGACCCTATCTGAGATGTGACGCGAGCTCCCGCTGCAAACGTCCCACGAAAACTGGACCGTCAAAATCCAGGACGCGCTCGTCATAAAATAGTTGGCAAACCCGAGTCCTGGCGTGCTACAGGGCAGTTTTTAATACATAGGATTTTATACATATAGGATGCATAAACTTATGCATGAACTCGTCGTTGTTGTTAATACTGAATCCCTGCATGTTTAATACATGATCCGAACGCGGAGCATGTATTAAAAAGGCCACCCAGTCGGTGCCAAGGACCGGGCCGAGAGGGCCGCCGTCCTCAAGTGCAACCTCGGCGACAAGAGCCGCGCCGACAACGACAAGCGCAGCACCATCGAGATGCCTGGTACCAGTCCAGGCCCAGCAGCACCACCGGGATGCTGGATCGGCACGGCCGTTACCACCCTCAACCCCGACGCCCAGTTCTTTGAGCCGAATCAGGTCACGATCAGTATCGATATGCCTGAGATATTCCTGGATGCTTTCGTGCACAACAGCCACCACGAGCAGCACTTCGAGCTGCCGAAACTTCAGCCCCTGCTACGGCTGCCACGACAACTACAACGACAACACCAACCAGACCCCAGCTTCGTCACCAGCACCGACCGCTGGCAACTTCGACTGGACTGAGGAACCAGGGGCTGGAGTTGCACGAGAGGATGAGGGTCGTCCGAATCCCTGCCCGCCACCGCGGCAGCGACGCCTCGTTCTCGAGTGCCTCAAAGGGACCACCCTCCCGTTTGCCACCTTGGGCGATCCGCCCTGGAGTAGACCCGCACGCCAGCCCCAAAGAATGCGACAACGTGGGAGTCCCACTTTCGGGATCCCCTCGGTGGCCCCCCTCACCCAGCCCTTCGGGCCATGTCACCGAGGACCCCTTCCCCGTCGCAGCGGCTGGACTCGCTGCTCACAGCCGTAAGCATCAGATGGGAGAGCAGCCAGACTCCACCGACTTTTAGGCGACCGTGGTGCGTCTTCGAGGACAGCCTGGAGGACCAGCCCGAGAACCTGGAGGACTAGCCTGAGGACCCGGACGACCAGCTCGCGGTCCCGAAGCTGCTCCAGCTGACCTGCGCGAGCGCCTTGTTGTCATCGTCCAGAGCAGAAGGGAGCGCACACCGTGTTCCACCAGCTCTCGCAACGCATGCGGCGCCCGTACGTGGACGTGACACTCGTCGAAGTCGCCGGCCTTCAAGAAATTCAAGCTCCAGTGTGCTGAACGCGATGCGGCCGGAGAAGACGCGGCTGCTGCAGCTTGGCACGACCTCGACCTCGAAGCAGTGGCCGAGCTGGTCCACGAGCTCCCAACTGGAGGAGCTCGCCGAGGACGTGCAGTGGGCGACGCTCCTCAGCGCCCTCGCCTCAGGACACAAGCCACGAGTGGCACTCTCTCCAACTTCCCCTCCCTTCATGCCCGCTCGCGTTGCTTTCCCTCCTCGTCCTTCTCCTTTCCTCTCATGTGGGTCGGGGAGAACTGAGTCGAACTACTGGTTGGGAGGGAGGTGGGCGACGAGCTCTGAACCAGAACAGTCGGCCAAAGCCTTACAGCGCGACCCGCCTAGCGAATGATCCAGCAGGGCAATCCTTCGCATTCCCACCACACACTTAGGCCCGCCAGAGCCATCCCCTCACTCGCCTTCCTCCTTCACCATCCCCCATGCCTCTGGGCAAAAGACATTGCTGACGATCTGAGAAGTGGGGTCCACCCCAGCTTTTGCTGTCACACCCGCCTTGTGCTTCTTCCGATCAGGGGGGGGGCGTTTCTTATGGGAGTGGGAGGGGGTGGGGTGATCCGCGACAAGCTTTGAGCCACGGGTGCAGCACTGCTGGTGCGACACGGCCATTGCCACTTTGAGGGCCGCGACGCTCCACCAGCCCCCAGGGCAACAGTTGCACCACCGTGCCCGTGCAGCTCACGCTTCAGTCCCCTCGGGCTCCCTCCCCCCTTTCGCCTCGATGTTTGTACCGCCTTCGCCGATCCCCGTCCCCAGCGGGTGTCCTGGGCCCCACTGGCCAGTTGTTCAACCCTGGATAAGGGAGATCGGTCGTTGCCATCGGGCTTCGAGGGGTGTGCTCCCCAACTGGGGTGGCCCCCTTCCGACGCCGTCACGTCCTCTCCTCCTCTCTTCCAAAGTTGTGATCGGTCCCCCACTCTGGGCTCCTACAAGAACCCTTCCGCCAGAAACCCAACCCTGAGACCCCAGGACGTGGATTGATCTTTGGCGTAGGAACGTCACCCTTTCCATGGCAAAGCCCTCGGAACCCAAGAAACCCAGAGCACCCTGGAGGCAAGCAGGGTGTTTCTGGGCATGGGCCCAAACTGCAAGCGTCGGGGGGTAGCCCCCCCGACGGGGGTCAACCTCGCCTCGTCGTCGTGCTGCGACGGGGGGTCGGAGCGCCGTCGGCGCGCGGTGGCTGCCCGCGACGGGGGTCGATGTGGGGCTGTCGGCGGGGGTGACGCCCCCCCGACGCATGTCAAAACACGGAGTACCCCTCCTCTCGCTGCCCTCTGCTGTCCTTTACCTCCTCTGAGTCTCCACCGCAGCCGGCAACTCCTGGAGCGACCGTTCCAGGAGTCGCCTGGCTCGCAGTCTGATCAAGCCCCTAAGGCCGACGGGCCCTAGGGGAAGAGGGCAGCACACCAATAACCAGGAACTGGAAGGGCAGAAGCGAGGGGGATGAGGAGGAGGGGGAGTAGGACATGCTAGGTGCGTTCGCGTCATATCTGACATCCTACCCCTCCCTCCCATCCCTTACCATGACGTAGATCCCCTCTCTACTCGCTCAGTCGGATGTCGAGCAGGGCAATGATCCCGAAAGGGTACGCGATGCATTGTAGAGCACGGCATGGCATGGCGTGGAAAAGCACCGCGAAGCGTAGTATCAACCTAGCATTGCATTGCATGCCGTGGCATGGCACAGGAAATGGCGCCAGCGCTGCAGCGGGAGCACGAGTCGAAACGAGCGGAAGCCCGGAAATGAGGCCAGCGCTGCAGCGGGAGCACGATTCGGAACGAGCGGAAGCACAGAAATGAGGCCAGCGCTGCGGCGGGAGCACGATTCGGAACGAGCGGGGCCCGAAAATGACGCCGGCGCCTCAGCGAGAGCAAGATTTGGGAAAAAAACTGAAGCGGAAACCCAACTCGGGGGAAACCTGTGTGTAAAAAAACAATACGCGGGGGGGTCGGCCACTTTCAAACCGTCATCAGGGGAAGAAGGAGAGTAGTATTCATATTGAGTAATTGTGGTGGAGGAGGATGAGGAGGAGGAGGAGCAGGAGGGGGAGGGGGAAGGGGAGGGGGAGGGGGAGGGGGGAGGGAGGGGGAGGGGGAGGGGGAGGGGGAGGGGGGAGGGGGGGAGGGGAGGGGGAGGGGGGGGGAGGGGGAAGAAGAGGAGGAGGAGGAGGAGGAGGAGGAAGAGGAGGAGATGGAGGCGGAGGCGGAGGCGGAGGCGGAGGCGGAGGCGGAGGCGGAGGCGGAGGCCGAGGCGGAGGCGGAGGCGGAGGCGGAGGCGGAGGCGGAGGCGGAGGCGGAGGCGGAGGAGGAGGAGGAGGAGGAGGAGGGGGAGGGGGAGGAGGAGGAGGAGGAGGGATCTGAGGGATCTGATGAGTCCATCCGTCAGTGGATGCCGCTACCTAGGCACGCATCTCGGGCCAACGCGGAGATGCACGGCGCCAGGTCGATGCCCAGCGCAAAAGAGGGGGATCCAGCATGGCGACGAGACCACAGGACCCCGAAACACCGCCCGACGGCGGCCAAAACGAGGAAAACGCCGTAACGCGGTAGCCTCGCTCAGTCCACGGAGCCCTCGCGGAGGGCCGGCATGTGAAGGAGCAACTTGCCGACGACGTCGCTCCCGAACCGCTTCTCGGCGATCTGCAGCAGCTCCTTCGTGGAGACGTGGTCGAAGCCGACCCCCTCGGAGCCGCCGTGTTTGATCTCGCACTTGTGCTTGCCTTTGCCCTTGGCCTTGCTCTTGCCATTGCCCTTGCCCTTGCGCCCAGAGCGATGGCAGTCGAGCTTCTGCATGATGCCGGCACCAACGGCGCTGAAGTCGTCGTCGAGCTCATCGCAGTCGTCGCCGAGGGAGGCCGTGCTGGCGATCTCGTCCAAGACCTCGCCTAAGCCGACGGCGTCAACCACGCTCTTCAGCTCCACGTTGCTCATGTCCTTCTGCATGTCTTCCTCGTACTCCTTCACGAAAGTACATGGGTCGTCGAGCTCCTCGGGAACCGCGTTCGAGCCGATGTCGAAGCACTGCAACTCCCCGTTGCTCTTGTCCTTCTCGGGCTTCGGCGCGACGTCCTCCAGCGTCACACCCACAGCCTCATCCTCGTAGCCGCCGTCGCTTGACTCCGCGATGTCACCTCGAGCCTGACTTGCCCTACGCCAAACCATGAAGCTGAAGTCCATCACGTCGCGCTCGTAGCCCCCAAAGTCGTCGTAGTTGGTGGTGTTGCAGCCGCCGTCGCTGTAGATATCGTACTGCTCGACGCTCAGCGGCGGATCTCCGCGTCCACCTCCGCCAGGAGCGCCTCCACGATCGCCTCCTTGTTGGCCGCCAGCCTCGATGACCATCGATTCCTCTTTGGCACCGGTGCGAGAGCCTCCTCCAGCATCTCCTCCTCGATCAGGTACGGGTCCCAGTCCACCTGGATGTTCTCCTTCACCTGGTCGTCCTCCTGCTGGTGCTGGCTCGGCTGCTCCGAGCAGGTCACCTCCTGCCTCAGCTCCGCTTGCTGCTGATGAATGCCAGTAAGCGGGAGACCCGCGCACCTCATGCAGTAGCCCCTGAAGCCGAAGTTGACGAAGCCGCAGTGGCCACACTTCCACTTGGCCACGTGGTTTTTTGTCTTGCTGGCCGCTGACGGCGATGCCATCATCCCCACCTGCGGCGGCCTCTTCCTGGGCTGGGCCTCCTGGCAGGAGCTCTCCCGAGCTGGTGGCCAGGCGGCCGCCGATGCCTCCGCCCACAGCTTCTCCTTGGCCTCCTTGGCGTTCACGAAAGCCTCGCGGTTGATCATGCGCTGCTCCTGCTGGACCTCCCTCTTGTACTGTTTCCTCTGGTTTGCACTGAGCTTCGAGTGCATCCACGGCACTCGGGCCCGCTGCGCGGGTGGCGTCCCCGAAAGCGTCGACATTGAGCACGTAGACGCTGATCTCGGAGCCGCGAGCGATCTCGATGTCAGTCAGCAGCTTGCCAAGGCCGTCCGAGCTGTCCGCAATGAAGAAATTCATCACGACACCATCGCCCGCGCCGATGCGCGGCCTGGCTCGCGGGAGCTGCGCCCCCCCCACGCGCGCTCCCCGTCAGGGTCCCCCTCGGGCCCAGGAGGGGCTTGAGCCAAAATGGCTACGGAGGGGAGGAGGAGGAGGAGGAGGAGGAGGAGGAGGAGGAGGAGGAGGAGGAGGAGGAGGAGGAGGAAAAGGAGGAGGGAAGGGAGGAGGAGGAGGAGAAGGAGGAGGAGGAGGAGGGGAGGAGGAGGGGAGGAGGAGGAGGAGGAGGAGGAGGAGGAGGAGGAGGACAAGGACAATGAGAGGACGAGGAGGACGGGGAGAGGACGAGACGAGGACGAGGACGAGGACGGGGGGAGGAGGAGGGGAGGAGAAGGAGGGGAGGAGGAGGAGGAGGAGGAGGAGGAGGAGGAGGAGGAGGAGGACGAGGAGGAGGAGGAGGAGGAAGAGGAGCAGCAGCAGCAGCAGCAGCAGAGGGAGGAAAAAGGGCGGGCACGGAGGGCGGACGCGAGGAGGAGCACGGGAGGAGGAGGCGCCAAAAGAGAAAGGGCGAGGACGAAGAGGGCCGGATGGAGGGCAGCGGCGAGCAGCGTGGGCATAGGGGAACGATGCCTTGTCCAGATGCTCCTCCTCGTCGAGCAGGAGCAGCATGCTGAGCACCAGGGCGAAGAAACTCTCGACGTCCTGGCCGCGCTCGGGGGAGCCCGGGAACCAAACCCTCCATGCCCCTGTCTGCTGCCTCCTTCTTCTCCGATCCTGCTTGCATCCTCCTCCAAAAACTCGCCAAGACTCCGCACTGCAATGATAATTGGTGAGACCAGGTGCTGGGAATGAAATCCGCCGACCCTGTCGGCGTGTGTGAAGGGCTTGTCCGTTCAAGTCGTCATCTCCGTCATTCGTTGGTCGTCGTCTCTGTCGTCCTCTTTCCCTGCCTCCCCCCTTTCCCTGGGCTCGTCGAAGCTCCCCCCTTTCCCAGGGACCTCCTCAGCGCGCCAGTCAAAGCGAAAATAAGCAACGTCGTAATTGAGTCGAAGGGAAGCCCCTTCCCTTCGATGCCTCCCCCGCCGGGGGAGGGGGGGGGGAGGGGGGGGGGGGGTCAGACGTTCCGGGGGGGGGGGGGGGGGTCAGATACGACGCCCCCCCTGGGAGTCCTGGAGCCCAAACAAGCCCCAAGACAGGCCAAGAGTGCCCCAAGAGGCCCCAAAGACAGTCCAAGAGAACCCCGAATCGCCGAACGATCTGTCCAAAGACGCCTTGACGGCCTCCAGACGGCACAAGAGGCCTGCAAAGCGCCCCTAAGAGGCCTCCAGGAGCTTTCCCACGAGAGCCCCAAGAGGAACATTCATGGATTTCCCATACGTGCTTGAAAAATTTTGGCGTTCTTGCCTCTTCCGCTTCCCGACGCGCCAAGACGGCCCAAGAGGCCTCCAAGATCGCTCCGAGACGGCCCAAGAGGCCCCCAAGAGGGTCCCCTAACGGCCGAAGAGGGTCCCGAGACGGCCCAAGACGCCTCTAAGACGGCCCAAGAGGCCCCCAAGACGGCTCCAGGAGAGTGCCCAGACGGGGGACCCGAACGGACATTTCGAGCTCTCAGCCCCAAGAGGCCCCCAAGAGGCCCCGAAGAAGCCCGAAGAGGCCCCAAGAGGCTCCCAAGGGGCCCCTAAACTGCCCCAAGATAGCCCAGGAGAGCCTCAAAATTGCCCAGGAGGCCTCCAACAGTGTCTCGAGACGGCGCAAGAGGAGCCCTGGACGGCCCAAGACGGCCTCAGGAGAGCCACAGGCTGTCCCAAGAAAGCCTCTGGCCTCCTCCTGCTCCTCCTCCTTCTCCTCCTCCTCCTCCTCCTTCTTCTTCCCCCCCCCTCTGCTCCCCCTCCTCCTGCTCTCCTCTGCCTCCTTCTCCTCCTCTTGCTTCTCCTCCACATCCTTCTCCCCCCTCCTCCTCTCTCATCCACCTCCTCCACCCTGCCCCCCCCCCTCGTGTTCATCTCCGTCGCTCTGAGGGTCGGCGGCAACGGCCGTAAGGCCTTCGCAATAGATATGTGAAGTTACGTTTTGTATGTGTTGACCATCCAAATGTTCATGTATGCATGTACCCATGTATGGTTGTGAAGACTTGCATGCAAACATGAGCACATTACACATGTGCAGATGCGCACATGTATACATACACACATGCAAATATACACACATGAGAGAGAACTCATGTCATGGACGCTTGCCTGGAAACAGTCCCTGGACACGTCGGAACTAGAGGGGGTGCCTAAACACGAGGCACGCCAGGGGAAAACGCCCCACACACACACACACACACACACACACACACACACACACACACACACACACACACACACACACACACACACACACACGCACGCGCACGCACGCACGCACGCACGCACGCACGCACGCACGCACGCACGCACGCACGCACGCACGCACACGCACGCACGCACGCACGCACGCACGCACGCACGCACGCACACGCGCGCGCGCACGCACACGCACACAGACACACCCGCGGGGCAAGAACCCCCCCCCCCCACAAGGGGGGGGGGGTCGAACCGCCACCCCCGCATCCTCCAGGGGGAAAGCTCGAAATGGGACGAACCGCCACCCCCCCCCCCCTTAATAGAATCTTGGGCGCGGCCCAACTCTAACATAATCCTACGAGGGCTCGATCCAACTTCACTACCCTCCTAAGAAGGGTCGATCCAACTTGTATGGCATCTTGCTACAGCTGCATCCAGCTCCGTTATAATCATACTAAGGCTCGGTCCAACTGGAACAGCATCCTGGTAGGGCTCGGTCCAGCTCTACTTGAGCCCCACGAAGGTTCGACTCAGCTCTGATGGAATCCTACGAAGGCTCGATCCAAATCTACCTGTATTCTAGCAGGGCTGCACCCAGCTCTAGTTGAATCCTGGTAGGGCTCGACCCAGCTAAGAATCCTACTAGGGATCGATCCAGCTCTAGTATTCGATCGTCGTCGTCGTCGCTGACAGACGGCGCTGGCGTCGGCACAGGGCTCCCCCCCCAAAGTCCGATCCCCGCCCTTGCAATTCAGACGGGGGGGCGGCTTGACCCCCCCCCCACCCTCCAACGCCCACAGAACGCACTCTTATACATATAGTCAAACATTTATAATTGCATTTACAAATATACACATGCGTAAATATATGTACATATATATATGGATATAAATATGGGTATAGACGTACTGATGTGTATCCACACATTCTTCTACTTCTATATAATATATGCAAACATACATGCACAGGACTGCATTGGCTCTTCGCGCCATGCACCTTGATCCCTGAAGTTTGTCATGCAGGCGGAAGAGCAGAAAGGTGAAATATCAAAAAAATAAGCGATCTTGATTTGCTGCCATTTTCCGATCCGACATCGTCGCTTCCTTCCATCATGCTTCCTCTTCCTCTTCCCCACTTTCGCTTTAGAACTGTTATCAACCCTCATCAGCTCTTCCTGCGGAGGATCCACCTTGGAAAGCCTCTTGGGGGCCTCGCGAAAGTGTTTCAGGATGTCTTGGGGCCTTCTGGAGCCCTCCTGGGTTCCTTCTGAGGGCCTCTGGGGGCTTCCTAGGGCCATCCTGATTCCAATCGCGGTCTCCCTGAACGACTGGGTCACGACTTGGAATGCTTAGGGGGCGTCGTGGGGCCATTTTGGGACGTCATGGGGCTCTTTTCAAGCCATCTTGGGGTCCTGTTGGGCCGTCTCGGAGCTCTCTTGGACTTCCTGGAAACCCTTTTCGGGAAGTTGGGGCGATAATCGGACCTCCTGGGCGACCTCGGACGCCCAGAAGACCAAAGAACAGGGCATGTCCAAACCATGCAAAACAACTAGGGGAAGTCCATGTTTTTTGGGCGTTTCGAAAGCCTCGTGGGGGTCTTCATTGAATTATCTTCGGGCGTCTGGTGAGTGTCTGGGGGCTTCTTGGGCCTCTCGCGGGGCCGTTTGGCCGCACTTCCGAACGACTTGGGCCCGTTACCCAGTCCCAGAAAGCCCGGGGGGCCTTCTGGAAGTGCGTCCAGGGGCCCGCAGAGCCATGGATCCAGGGGGTACCGTTTGGTGGGGGGGGGATTTCCCACACCCCACGAGTGCAAAACATAAAAAACTATACCCCCACCGCCGCGCCTGAACGATGTGGGCGTGATAGAACGCCAGGTGCTGCCCTCTAGGGCTCATGCATTCTGATAAGGAACCCCCTCTACTAGCAGACGACTGTCGCGTGCATCCCTCCCCTCCTTCCCCTTATTCTCCCCCCTCCCCCATCCCCCCTCCCCGACCCCGTCCCCGCCGCCTCCCCCCTCCGCAATTACTCAACATGAATACTACTCCGTCTCCTGTCTCCAACGAAGATGGCTAAAGAGGAGCCCGCCCCCTGCGCATACATTGTTCCACACATAAAACACACAAAGACACACACACACACGCACACACATACAAGAAACGGGTCTGCACATGATTCAGATTGATCACTCCAACCGTCGTGTCTCTTCTTCTTGTCGGTCGCGGTCGATTGGCCATCGCCCGCTCTGCTGCTGGTCGCCTCGTCCGGTGCTGGCTCCCTCGCCGCCGCTGCCATAGCGTCCCACGCTACTGTCCACAATAAACCTTCCACAAGAAACCCAACCCTGAGACCCCAGGACGTCCATTTCACGTTTCCCACAGCAAAACCATCGGAACCCAAGAAACCAAGGGCACACTGGAGGCGAGCAGGATGTTCCTTGGCATGGGCCCCCTCTGTATACCTTGCACCCTCTCCCCAGGCTGCGCCGCCCAGCTCTCGCTCGGCAATGGAAGGGCAGGCGGGCCCGAAGACGTTCCCGGGGGAGCCCGGTGCCCCAGACCACACGCTCGCCGAGCGGCTGCGGCGCATGAGGACACGCACGCACCAGGTGGCACGAACCTGGCTGCTGTTGAGCTTCCACCTGCAGCCTGCAGCGGCAACTGGAGCACTGAGCGTAACGGCCCCGGGTGCAACCAGCCTCCGTCATGAGCGCTGGATGCGGAGGTGGAGCGGCCGCTGGAGCGCTGGCTCCCGCGGAGTGGAAGAAGACGACGCCGCGAACTGGTGCGCCTGGGCGGCCTGGACGAATGGACTGCTGCAGGGCGCGGACCATTAGCGGTATCCGCTCTGAAAGAGAGAGAGAGAGAGAGAGAGAGAGAAAAAAAAAAAAAAAAAAAAAAAAAAAAACAGCGAGAGAGAGGGAGAGACAAAACAAAAAAGGGGGAAGGCAGGGAGAAGAGAGGGAGAGGCAGGAGAAGAAGTCGGCCCCCCCTGGTTCGCCTCCCCTCGGCCTCCGCCTCCTGTGGAAACCACAAGGTACCGATACCGCTACTCCCCAGACCTCTCCCAGGGTGAGTTATGACCGGAATTTCGAGGCAAATCCAGCGGTGGCGACGAGGGCCTCCCAGGAGGCCCAAAAAAGGAAAACGAGGGAAGGGTAGCGGTATGGGCACCTTTCCCTCCTCCGAGCCTCCGCCCGCCCCCGCCTGCGCCTCCAGCTCGCTTTGCTCCTCCTTCTCCACCACCCACCCACCCTGGGTGCACCGCCAGGAAGCACCTACTGCCACGGCTGCCGGAATCCCGCCGGTGGGTTCCCCGGGAAGCTGTGGCAACGCGCACATCCCCGCCCTCGCGCGGAGGGCAGACACCCGTACAACCCTCTCGTCGACGGGCCCTCGAGATCTTAGGGAACGGCTCCGAGACGATGGACGTGGGTACATTCTTAGAGGGCTGAAAATCCACCCCCAGAATGATCGCCCCGACCAGCGAGGCCGTTCAGTACACGCACCCAAGGACGGAGTCGAACAGGACAGGGGTGTCCAGCGCGCGCCCAGGGCCGCTTCGTCAACGCCAGCTGTCGGGGTCTGGGCGGCTTTTCCTCCCCGAAGTCTGGCGGTCGGAACGCCTGCGCACCCCCGCCCAGCTCCCCTACTCTCCCTCCACCTCCGCCCTCGCACCCTTCGGGCGGCCGCGGGCCCAGGCCCCGGCAGGCTCAGGTCGGGCATGCCCTCCTGCAGGCGGATGGTGGAGGACACGTTCAAAGCACTCGAAACATGCTCTCAAGCATTGTCAAACAAATCGAGGCATCGTCCCCAGACTATGCCTCGACTATTTTTGGATAGATTCCCTCTGTAGGGGCACATGCCCGGCTTGCAGCGGCAGGCGCACGTCTCCTTCGCCCGCTCCTCGGGCCGCGCGTCCGGGATCGAGGCGAACACCTCCTCGCGGTCTCCGCGAGAGGGAGAGCTCTCTCTCTCTCTCTCTATCCAGCCCATTTTCCCCGGGGGAGGAGGAGGAGGAGGAGGAGGAGGAGGAAAAGGAGGAGGGAAGGGAGGAGGAGGAGAAGGAGGAGGGAGGAGGAGGAGGAGGAGGAAGAAGGAGGAGGAGCAGGAGGCTCCAGCTTCCTCACCCCCTGCACGAGCGGATCCCCCAGTCGCACGACCGCGTCGGGACCCTGCCCACCGCCGCTGACAGAAGGCAAGGCTTACCTTGCGCAGAACCCCGCTCGATGCACCTGCGTGCGACGCAGGGGGGCGTAGCCCTGCCTTGAGATGCTGCGCGCCGCGGGGCAGTATGACGCGGCGGCGCCATGCGCCGTGCGTTCGCGACCGCTGGGACCGCAGCTGGGGTCCCAAAGAAGGCACGAAACCTGTGAAGGGCGTGCCGACCGTTTCTTCGTCGGCGGCGAGGCAGAGGCTGCAGCCAATGGCTACTCGGGGCGACCTGAAGGCGAAATGTCCGGCGTGCAGGAGGGAGGAAACAAGACGAGGGCGGCCGCGCGGGGGGAGGGAAACGCTCAGACAGTTAGAAATCCGCGTCGAGCAGGCCGGAGCAGCCAACCGAGGCAGCGGTAACCGTGGGGCGTGCCGACACAGGCGCGGTGATGCCGTGCGGTCGCGCCCACGGAGGGGCGCGTAAGGGGGAAGAAAGGCGTGCAATAGTGTGCACGGTCGCGCCAATGCGGCCGCGCCCACGGAGGCCGTAGGCAAAGCTACCCTCGAGGCGCAAAAGATCCGCGAGAGGTGCCGAGATGGCCGCGGCGCCGCCCAGCTGTCGCGCCCACTGAGGCCAGGTGTGGAAGCTCCCTGCTGCAGGGGCTCGACCACAAGAAACCTTCCACAAGAAACCCAACCCTGAGACCCCAGGACGTCCATTGATTTTTGGCGCGGGAGCGTCACGCGTTCCATCGCGAAACCATCGGAACCCAAGAAACCCAGGGCACCCCGGAGGCGAGCAGCGTGTTTCTTGGCATGGGCCCCCACTGTATGGCATGGGGCCGCCATGCGGTCGGGCCAATTGAAACTGCAGCCTGGACTGCCGCGAGGGGTGCGGAACGAGTGCGAGAGGTGCCTACAGTCGCACCGGCTGAGATCGCCCTAGGTGGAGCTCCCAGTGGGGCCATCGAGCGTGTGAAATGCATCCCGAAATAGACTTAGGTCGGGCATGTCCCCCTACAGGCGGAATGTGGACGAGAAAAAAAAGTTGCCAACAAAATACTCCAAAAATGCTCAAAAATAGTCAAAAATCGTCCCACTGATATTGTTTTACTATGTTTGGATATTCCTCCTGTAGAGGGACACGCCCGACTTAAAAATAGCCCCCGGCCAGCCGCTGTGCGGCCGCGCTCTCCGAAACCGCAGAGTTTGGAGCTCCGTGAGGGGCGCGGAACGCGAGTGAGAGGCGTGCCGACGTGGGCCGCGGTGCCGCCAGGGTGGTCGCACCCACCGAAACTGCAGCTGGGAGCTGCGTGTGGGGGCGCAGACAGAAAAAAAAAAAAAAAAAAAAAAAAAAAAAAAACTGTTGGCGCTCCGCGCGGATTTCTTGGATCTGCGCTGGACCCCCCTCCCTGGCGCGCGGAGCGCACCAGGGGCGGCGCTGGAGGCGCCGCCGGGGGGGCCCAGAGCGGATCCAAGAGATCCAGCGCGGAACGCCAAAAGTCTATGTTTATGGCGTTTTTTTTTTTAATTTTCGAAGAGAGAGAGAGAGAGAGAGAGAGAGAGAGAGAGAGGCGTGCCACCGTGCCACTCAGACCCTAGGTGGAACTCCCGACTGCTGGCCTAAGAGCGTGCCAGGAGTGCGCCGGAATGGGCTGCAACGCCACCACGCTGCCGCACCTACTGAAACCACAGGTGGAGATCCCCATGGGGCCACGAAACGTAGAAGGGGTGCAGTGGAGCCCACCAGCCCCTGGGAGCTCAGGTGGTCTAACGAACGTCAGTCTTTCCACTTCCAAAAACCCTCTGTGCTTCAGGAGAAGCACATTCCCACCCCTCCCTGAGGTTTCTTGTTGGGAGGTTGCGAGCGGTCAGAGCGCCAAAGATCGCCCAAGATGGCTCTAAGAGGGCCCCCGATGCTCCAAGATGGCCCTCAAGATGGCTCAAAATATCAGAGAAAGGTTCAATATTGTTTCCGACACGCCTCCAAGAGAACCCAAAAGGACCACAAGAAGGCTCCAAGTGCTCTCGGAACCACCTCAGGACTTCCCAAAGAGGCCAAACGGCCGCGGAAACACATTAAGCTAGCCAGCGAGGACCCCGAACCGCACCGCACTGTGGATGTGCAGGATGCGTGATGCGCAAGACACGTGGTGCAAGCTATGTTGCGTAAGCCATGTGGTGCAAGTGATGTGGAACACCCCCCCCAAACCACAGTGGGCGGCAAGGAGGCGGCACCGGCGGCGCCTCGGCGGCACCTCTACGGGCGCATCCGACTGGCGACACA